CCCCCCCCCCCCCCCCCCCAAGTGCCTAAAGGAACCCCTTTAAGGCATTAAGGCCCATGTACATACCATGTATGTTTAGAGTTTTGAGGGTACAGCCATCCACTTCGCGACCTGCTCGTTGCTCAGCCCTGTGATCAAAGCACCCACATCCTTGGTCCATGAAAGCCGGGGTTTCAGGGTTCACTACGGTACAGGGTTTGGGAGTTTAGGGTGNNGGGTCTTGGGGTTTTGGGTTTAGGGCCTGGTAGCTGCGGGTCTACAAGTAATGAAGGAAAAGGCAGCTGCTTTTTGAAGGCGAAATGAACCCGAAAATTGCTATACAAGGGTTTGAGGTTCAGTCATATGGGGATTAATAGTAGAAGGGTACAGGGCCTTACTTTTAAGGGTAATTTGGTCTTAAACTCTTTCTGTTTCGAGTTTTTGCTGAGAACCTCCTCACAGCATCTCAAAGCATTGGCGGCGCAAGCAAAAGGGAGCTTTGACGCCTTAGTGATAAGAGTTTAAGAAGTACGGCAAGGGTTTGGGACTATGGCTTTAGGGTTTGGGGCTGGGAGAGAGCGAGAGAGAGAGAGAGGGCTGAAAAAGTAAGTAGCGGGAAAGTATACGCCCTAATTAGACCCAAGCCCGAAGCCCTACAGCGGAATCTGTGCAGGCAAAATACAATCAGCGCATTGAAGGGCGGGTCGTGTGTCGCGACGAGTGACAGCAAGGTCTGTGCCTGCGCTCACCGAGCTTCACCAATTCAAAGTTTATACGATAACAAGACCTTGACCCAGGCGCAAGAGATCCCAAAACCCTGTCAACTCTACACCCTAAACCCGAACCCGTTTTTTTCACACGGGTACCACTGAATGCAATTAAAGAAACGCTGTCTCCGGAACCTATGCAACCCCGATGCACGATGACTGAAAGCCGAAAGCTCCTGAAACCTCCAGCACTGAAGGCCAAAGTGGAAATCTGAAAAACCCCAATCCAACGATCCTCATGTAAACGCTAGTCCGATGCGTCATGCTGTAACTAACCAATTAGAACAGGGATTTGTGCCGGGACATGTCGGGACCAGACGAGGATGTCATTGGCAGTTATGCAGATGAGGTTGGTGCAGAGTTCAAGCAGCCCAAAAATCAATTCATAAGCCGTTCCATATGTTGCAAAAGGCAAAAGCGCACGACGTGCCTGCACGCACAGGTTCATGCAAACAACCCTAGTCTATGCCCTTAGCACTCCAAAATAGCGGTCTGAATGACCATGGTAAGCTCCCCCGAAAAAGACCAATACAATAAACATCTGCATGAAGTTTTACTACATGGGCAATTCTCTAAATTAGGGTCCCTCTAGTGCACGTCAAACCCCAAGTCCCTAACCAGGCTTCCCCACACTCCATCCATCATCGACCAGCGCCACGTCTACCACCAGAGGATCGCTAAGCGTATTCAGCATCTTCGCATCGTCGCCTAGCAGGCTATGACCAAAGAGGGAGAAGATGGCGGCCCATTCTCGGTTTTCTGAGTTTAGATGCATAGAAGTTCTGGGTTTCGAGCTTAGCAGGTACCCAGATGAGCTCTAACATATAGGGTCCGCTGGTTCGTCTGTTCATTTCCTTGGTCCCTTCCCCAAGGCGATTGATGATAACGATCACCATAGTTTAGAATTTAGATCTTAGCGGTGTAGGAACTTGTAGCATACCGATGCCGCAGTAGCAATGATGTGTTGTATAAGCCCCAGAAATCATGAGGGTACTACCTATGGCGGTCGAAGTAAACCCTAAACCCCTATAAACCCAAAACCTTAAACCCACAACTCTAAACCCTAAACCCATATAAACGCAAAACCCTAAACCCAAAACTCCAAAGCCTAAGCCCGGCAGTCGGGATCGAGGTCGGGGATACTTTACACTGCTCTGTGGGTACTTGGACCCTCAAAAGGCATTGCGCTCGCTTCTGCAACTGAGCTCAGGATTGGTGGTTCCGGAGCAAGTTTGGGGCACCGGGCTATAGGCACCAAAGCTTACCTCTAAGTGCTTGGGTGTGGGGTTGACGGCAGGGTCGGTGGTATCCTGCCAACTTAATGATTTAGGGTCCAGGTTTTCTTGCAATCTTCCTGAGCTGCAACGTTTTGGGCTAGAAAGGCTGAGGCTTCACGGCTTTAGCTGGCGAGGTGTGAAGCTGAGTACCATAAACCTAAAACCTCCACACTAAACTTTAAAGGTAAAAGATGGTAGAGTGTTTAGGGCTTCAGGTTTTTTAGGAGTTTAGGCTTAAGGTAAGGGGTGGTTGAAACACTCCAACAGGGAATTCGGCGGGATAGACTTCGTCGATTAGTTTGCCTCGGGGCATTATTGATCTTTTGTTGCTTTTAGCTTAGGTCTTAGGGGCAGGCTGAGGTTTCGGATTTCACAGTAATTAGCATGGTTGTCCAACCAGAGATGCCTACTGACGACTGCAGAGTGACTGGAATGAACCCTGAAGCCCTGAGACCAACTTTCGCAACTGTAAGTCTACGTCACAAACTCTTAAACCCGATTAAGGCCTGAACCCGAAACCTTAAACTCCCGACTCCCTAAACCCCGGAAGCCTGAAATCCACACCGAAGACAGTGCCTCGTAACACAAGTTGCGGCAAGGGAGCGGGATCCCGATACATCATCTTTACATCACCTTTACAGTAGAAGAGTGAGCTCATACATCAGGTCTACAATTTCTTAGGTTGCCGAGCCCCTGGGTTTGTGTTTGGGCGGTTGCGATTCCGAGGCAATGTTGGCAGTTCATGGTCGCTTAGATTTGACCGTTTAGTTAGTCAGGTCCGTCGGCAACGAAAGACTGCGGAATCGAGAGAGCTGCCTCTTTAGTGCCGATTTCTCCCCAGCTGCAGCTGTCGCTTGCAGTCCTGAGCCATGCCTGTACAATCCATGCGACAGAGTCTGTGTTGGGTATTAAGGTCCCCAGATGTGCGAGACCTTGCTGGTTGACCATTGTGCCGTGCCGAAAACTGGAAACTTGGCTTTGTTACGACTATGGTCAGATGTCTGAAACTCGCGGGCGATCAGCACGCAGTTCTCTCTGGTATATGTCACGAAGTTGTTCAGACGCTCGATGGACCAAACACAATCAGCAGGACCAGCTGCGCAATGCAAAGGGACACCTGAGTTGTAGCAGCGCCCACCTTGGAGCCACAGCATATCAAGAACGTCGTCCATATTGAGCAAGAAGATTCCACCCAATGTGCGCTGGGCAGCTCTCTGGCGAGCGCTTCTCAGCATTTCGGCCACATGCCCTCGCAGCGTCTGACGCCAAGCTAACTTGGCGTCTTTTTGGCACTCCTTGCATTGGTACTGCAACCCATTTATACTCGAAGGGTGCTTGTAAAACTGATCCACCTGCTCCCAGTTTCCACAGCGAGCACATCGCCAATTGCCTGCTGCATCTGGTCCCCTGAAGCCCTGGAAACGCTCTGTCTGACTTCGGGCAGGGCGCAACCTTGCAGAAACGATGTCTTCCTGCAGACAGTGCAACTGCACCTGCTGTGTCCGAACACGTGTGACTTGCTGAACCTTCTGCCTGGACCACTGTGCCGACCCACAGGAAGTGCCAGCCTCATGACACCTGTTGTAAACTGCTGAGTTAAATTCAGCCGCAATCAGACAGCAGTTCCCCTTCAGATACCCTTGTTGAGTGTCTATTCTCTCGATGGAAGCCCTCCAGTGCGAGTTAGGTATCAACAGCTCCATGGCTATGCCGGAATATGCACACAGACCCTCCTGCTCAAGTACGAGGTCCAAAAGATGGTCTGCATCTATGTTGGACTGCCTCCCCTTCTTCTTGTCTCTCCATCGGGCCATCCTGGACACGTTGCGGCTCCAACCACGCAGAGTCGATCTGTACTGGTGGTCATAGGATATCTGCGAAAGCCACACATCTCCGTGTCCTCGGACTATACCTCGCGTAGGACTCCGAGCTTCCTGTACTAAAGCTGCCAAATGCTCGTAGCCTGGTGGGCTAGGTGGCTTGTCGTCGCCTGTTGACGACACTGAAGTGTGATACCCGATCAAGCCCACGGGTAAAGTGTGCCGCCGAGGCAGTGTGAGGAAGCCTACTCTCTGCACTCGCCCGCACGGGAATGCAAAGAACGGGTTCATAACTGGCTTTCACAGATGGCAGCAAATCCTCTGAGCCTAGTCTGTCACGCAACACGGGCCTGAAGCTGCGCCCGCCTGACGAGACTCCATGATATCCAATTACATTGGTTCCACGGTCCTGCAACCTTGTTCAGCTCATATTCTGATCTGCAACAAAAGCGGCTGCTGGTTCCAATATTAGCTGGGGAAGACCTTGGCGCGAGTCAAAACACATTCGGAATTGAACGGTTCGATACACCCTTTCAAGTTTCCGAAGCTGCCGAGCCCTTTCTCAGAGCTCCCTGTCAGCATACATGCCACTAATCCCGCGTGCGGGATAATGTAAGGAAACCAGGACCCTCAACATATTCGTATGTTTAGGGTTTATAGGGTCTAACAACGTCGGCCCGAAACCCGCAGCAATATGCTCATCCTCGATGTCAACTCAATCGCAGTACCCTGTGATCACGCGCCTCTGGCGTATTGACACTTGCCTCAGGCAGCAAGAAGGTCAAACGCAGCTTACCCAGAGCCTACAACATGCGTGTTGTTGTAGTATACAGCTGTTCTCAGAAACCTCATAACCTGAACCCATAGATTCATTAATGAAGACAATTATAGTACTGTAGACAACTGTTCTGAGAACAATAATCACCTAAACCTACGGTTAAAGAAGACAGCTTCTAGAACTTTTTGCTATGGCAGCCGTCATCCGTGAGTCGGGTGTCTTCGAAGGTTGCCAAAAGATATGGGATGAGGGTTCATGACTTAGGAAGTTCGTGGCTCCGAAGGTTTTCGTAGCTGTCCGGTGAGCTCGTCACACTATTGGGTCGCGGTTGATATCTTCATCGGTCTGACTAGTTAAAGGAGTTTAGGGCTAGGGTGACTCTATACGGTAAGAACAAAGCTCCGTAAAGCCTACACCCTAAACCCTTGCTCTGCATCTCGTGGCCTTTCTCTCTTGTCCCAACCAACCCCATCCCACCGAGCTTAATGTCGGGGCCTGAATAATTAGAATAGGGTCTTGGGGTACATTCTACTATATAATGTAAAATAGTATAGGTAATTATTTTGGCCCCTATATTAAGCCCCATGCTCATGGCTAATCCCCGGTCGGGAGCCCCAAAGCTCCTGAGACCAAGAAACCTACAAACGTCTAAACCTGCGATGGACAGTCTGAAAGGAACAAAAGCTTAGGAGTTTCGAGGTTTAGGGTTCAAAACCTGCACTGCGAATCCAATTTCCAAAACTTAGATGGCTTGCAGAACCTTCATAGCCCTAAGCCTTTAAAGTAACAACCGCTGTAAGCTCTTGCCTTAACGCTCAACCCCTAAATCGTAGACCCTAAAGGCTAACCGGAACCCCAAACCTTCAACCTCGAAGCCCTACACGGCCTGGACAACCTTTGTACAATCCACAGAAGCAGCCATTCTAAGGCATAAAAATACTACACCCTAAACTCTAAACTCCAGCCCCAAACCTTGAAGCAAGAACCCCGAACCCAAACCAAAGAACCCTTGCGCTTTGCAGGTCCAGTAGCCAAGCGCCAGGGGTAACAAGTCGTTCGGAGTACCACTGAAGCCGAGGCGGCTGGAGCAAAGAACCTGGCTTTAGGGGCTTTGTAGGTTTCAGGGGCTTGAGGTTCGGAGTTTAGCAGCTTAGGGGTTTGGGGCTCAGGGCTTTGAGGTTTAGGCGTTCGGGGGTTTAGAGGTTTAGGGGTTTAGGGGTTTAGGGCTTAGGGTTTAGAGGTTTGCGGGTCCACAGGTTTACGGGTCTAGGGGTTTCAGGGCCTTGGGTTTGTGTTCGGGCCTCAAGGTTTAGAGTTGAAGCTTTGTCGGCAGAGGACCTTCTGCTTGCTGTGCTTGCATCCGGAGACCTGGCGCTAGACGCGAGGGGAGTGAAACCAACACGACTGCTTCTATGGTAGACCGTGCACCCGGAGAGTGAGCACAACACAAGAAGAGCCCCATCTACCTTAAGAACCCCAAACCCGCTTTTTGTAGGTTCTTATTATAAACCCTAATATGGGATTTATAGGGACCCTACAAAAAAGTAGGTTTTGGGTTCTTAAGGTATAATGGAATCTATCAGGGGCCACCTGATTCGGGGGGTGGTCCAGCCTGCTCTCGAGCAAGATCGTAACTCAAGAGCGTGGCTTTCAAGGGCCCTAATCAAACTCCTAAACTCCCAAACCCTACTTATACTAAGGTTTCAGAAACTTTAGGTCTTTTGTCGGTGCCGCAGCCGGGTTCCTCCACTGTGCAGGTGCCTCGGCTCGGAATTGCTTGTCGTTTATAGTTGTCGTTATTACAGCCTACTTTTGTATAGTACATTCATTTTATAGCAGAAGCCAGAAAGTTGGAACATTAATCTCCTCATGGCCTTAAGGTAACGTATAAGGGCTCCTAGCACCAATCCTCCTAAATCCATGTTCCAACTTTCTGGGGTTTGCTGTAATCCTATTGTAATGCACTGTAAGAGCATGGGCGTGATGTCCGGCTCGTCCTCCCCCGGCTGCTCGTTCCGAGGCTGGGGATTCATAGGCGTACCTGCACCCGTTTCGTGTAAAGCCGAGCCGGGTTCTCGTTGGCCCATGCCTCCTCCCCACTCGTCAGACTCCGGACTCAGAGGCAATAACTGAGGTCTTCGGAGACTCATTGCTGTCGACTTACGAATCAGAGCCCTACGGTTTTGGGTTCAGGTTCTATTGGATTTAAGTTCAGGCTGCATTGCTTAAGTGGCTTAAGAGCTTAGGGGCTCAGGGATTCAGGATTTTAGGGCAGGATCTGAGGGCTAAGGGTTTATGGGGAGTTTGAGGTTAAGGGTTGGATCTGTTTGTATGTGCGGTCTGGAATCCAGTGTGCACGAGCATGTGCGACGGACTCAGTGCTGGGCCATGGTCTATCTCATATATCTTGATGCTGACACCATTTCTGCAGGAACATTTTCGAGAGTTCGCACTGCTGCCTTGCTACCAGTGGTGCCAGGACCCGGCACAGAACCTATCAGTCCCACGTCGCACGTAAATGCTCCGAGCCAAGCACCCTACACCCTCGACCTGAAACTCCGAAGCCTAACTAAAGCACAAACCCTACACCAACCATACACCCTCGACCTTCAACCCTCAACCACATGCCCGAAATCCCAATTCAAAAACCCAAGGCATCCTAAAGCCAGAAACCCTCAACCCCATTAGCCGTAACAACAACTACAAACAAGAACAACTTGTAGTATGGCCAAGTTGGGAACTACACAGGCCTGAAAACGGTCCCTAAAACTTTTGTGCCTGAAGCCCTAAACTAGGTGTCGATTCCAACAGTCCCAAACACATTCCATGTTTTCGTTCGGGTTCCATATAGTTCGAAACTATAAACACTAAGGGAATCAACATTATCCCAAGCCGGTACCTCCCAAAACCTTAGACCTCGAACCCAAAACCCCAACTAATCCACAGAAAGCGGAGGCCTCGCCGCCAAGATCCTGGCCATTGGCCGATAGCTTGGCATCGGCATGGCGTAAGACCGCCGGGAAAACGACATCGTCGAGGTAATACTCCTTAGTTTTTTGTCCGATTCGGATGTAGGATGTAGGGTTTACCACGACTCTTTAGTTTCTGATTTCTATGAAGGTTTAGGGTTTAGGGTAAGATTGCTGGGTTGCTCTAGGGTCTAGACATTTTCGGGTGTGAAAGTTTAAGTTAAGGCTTCAAAGTGTGAGGGGGTCGTAGCTCCTGTATGCCATGCCCAGGCACCATTAGGAATGGAGAGTTCTTCAGCACTGCGAACCTGGGACAGACACGACACCGGCGCTTTGAGCGGGAGTAGGGTTTTGGGTTTCGGGTGAGACGGATAGGTTTCAATATGGTTGAGAGCTTTCGGGGCCTGTGCTGTGCCGTAAACCGGCTAGTCATATTTTGGGCGTCCGGGCAGGTCTCTGTTTCAGGATGGGTGTCCTGTGAAATGTTGGATTCAGGGACTCCAGAGAGAGTTCGTGTTCGAGTCAGGGGATATCCTCCATAACATAAAGAAGCTGAAATAGAGTATGAGATTATCCGGGTTTGGATTCGGAGTTTAGGTTTTGGGGGATTTGACCGGCCGGGGCTGAGCCTGCTTGCGGGCTGACTTTGTGCTTACATGTTCAGCCATTCAGATCAATGAGGTCGCAACTACGAGGCCTCTCAAGTCTTCGAGAGCACGTGCAAGAGATCCTGCTTCCAGGAGTCTATATTCCGAACTCGGGGCAGTGTCTGGCACAGATGTAATTATCCAAACCGAGATACCAATAAAACACTTAAGGCGCCCTGCACTTGGACAACACTTATCAGGTCCGTAGTCTGCATCTTTGAAGACTCTGCGCCTTCGCCCTAAACTTTCATCCGTCAACCCTCAACCATGAACTGGCTCCCTGTCGAGGCTATAATTAAAATGATCATGTTCAATTGTAGCCATCAAGGACCCATGAGCTCAAAGACCCCAAACCCTGCAAATATCCCCGAGTACCCTTTTAACGAGAACACAAAATAATAAGCAAATGGAGCTGATTCGCGGCAGCCCTCAGCATGTCGGTTAGTTAGGCTACTCGGAGACATGGGTGACTGTGGTCCCCTTTTTGGGGAGATTTGGGGAGCCCCAAATAAGTCTGCTCTCAATACGGCACCCTAGAGTTTGGGAAGCCAAAAAACCCTGGTTTGACAACCACCCACATGTACTTCCTTCCGAGGAGCACGAGCTCCATCTGCGAGGAGTCACGGCCATCAATCCTTGGCAAGCGACTGAATTTCCCAACCTCTAAAGATTGCAGGGCCCCTCATTAGGGACACCACTGCCAGAACGCCGAAGACGCAGAGTACTTCATGGGACACGCCAGAGTTCCCCGGCAGTTTTTTTCGGATGTCTGGGTTTAAGATTTGGGGCTTAGGTCCCCCAGCCGCGAGTCGTTCCTTTTCCACGGGAGTCTGATTACGAGCTGCAGTCGCAGTGGCAAGCAATGTCTCGAGTTCTATATTATGCAGAAACTGGCTCTTAGACTTGTGCCTGGAAGCCAACTCCTGAGCATTGAAAGCTCAAGCACTGAACTAAACCCCACACCCCAAACCCTAAACCCCTAAACCCTAAACTCCAAACCCCTAATAACGCCCTAAACCCTACATAACTCTCGTGAACTCAAATTCTGAACCCGCGGTCCTCCCTAAATAGACCAATGTCTGTGACGCCCTCGACAGGATGCAGGTCGACCTTCTCAGTTTGGGGAAGCTCAGCTGTCTCTTCGGCGTCCTTCTGCTTTGTTGGCTCGTCGGCTGTGAGCTTGTAGCCCTGACCGGAGAAGTGGCGGGTCTCTGGCACAGACGGCGAAGGCGTGGTAGGCACTGTCTGCTGGGAAGTGGCGTTGTAGTGCCCAGCCGACTCCATGACAGCCTCCTGTGTCATGTTCGTCTCAACTGGCAACACTGCCCCCTCTGCACACCAGCGGTAATCAACTGCTTGATGATGTCATCGGGACTGCTGTTGGCGCCAATCTCAACATGAACTTCAGAACCACTAGTCGGGAGCTCACCCGAGGCAGTTTTTGTCTAAGAAGCCATGTAACCAAATAGTATATACTTTGGCCCCAGAGTACCTATATAGGCTAGGGACTACTTTAAGGCCAAAGTATATACTAATTATATACTTGGGCCCCAAAGTACCTATATAGGGACTACTTTAAGGCCAAAGTATATACTATTTGTGTACATGGGCCCTCAGGGTTTGTCAATCGCTGACTGCGAAAGAAGTGTCGGGCTGAGGCTGGCTTGGAAACCCAAACATTCCTAAGTACCTGTAAAGTAGAAACTCTTAGGGTTTCTATGGCAGGAATAACTATCATGGTCTGGGCAAGTATCCCGGTATCCCCCATGCCATATAGGTGCTTAAAACTCTTTTGGGAAAGTTTCTGCGCTCAAGTTCAACAGAGCCCATAAACAAGCAAACCCGAAACCCTCCCCATCCTTCCTGATACTCGCTTAAGCGGAGACAGCCGAATATCAGATCAACAACAAACGCTATGGCATCTGGGTTTACGGTTTAGGATGCAGCCCAAAACATCCCTCAACCCTAAATCCATGTCTGTTCTTCGGAGGCTTCGTTTCAGATCAGCATTGAAAACCCCAGCTCCGCAGTCAAGGCTCAGGTCAGAGAGCTCTCACAGGTGGGATGAAGGGAGCAATCCCCAAAATAAGTTTCCTTTCTATACTTCCCATCCCCTAAACCCTAAACCCTATTCCCTAGGCCCTAAATTAAACCCTAAACCCTAAACCAGATTCAGCTAGGGTTTAGGGCTAAGGGATAGGGTTCAAGGTTTAGGTAAGCCCTACTGTGCACGAGCCCCAAGTATAGACCTACTTGTCCAATATCCTGCGAGATCCAAGGTTAACCTTTGGGAGCTTTATAGGGATGATAGTACCCCAAAATGGTTAGAGGCTACCTACTCTACTACTAGGCGTAAGGGATCCTTAATACTACCTACCACCATCTTACCTTTGAGGCCCTTGATCATAACATCTGGAGCCAAGTCTCCACTCAAGCGGCGGCACGAGCTTTGTTTCAGCATCTGCCTGCAAGAACGCAGGTTCTTGCAGCTTAGGGCAGGGTTTAGAGATTGGCGCCTGCTGACAACCGCAGGATGCCCTCATGGGACCTGAGAGAACATCTTTCTAACACACGCTAGAGGATGGATCGTAGCATCTTGCTGTGGATCAGAAGCTAGGCTCAGAAAGTAAAGTAACCAGCAAGAAGGTACAACCATCCATTGCATGGGGGTTAACCCTTCGAGCCCAAACCCCTAAACTCTGAACGCTGAACCTCAGCCTCAACCCAAATACACCCTATCCCTATAACCACGCGAAACGCAAGCCCAAAAAACCAAATATCCTAAACTAAACCATAAACTGTAAATGCAATCGCAGCCCGAAGCCCGAATCCCTCAACTCGCCCGCCTCGCCAGCTGCGCGTGCAGAAGCCGCGCCGAGAACGAGTGACTGCGCCTCTGCTGCCTGGTGCACTTGGGAGGCTTTTCTTTCCCTTTTAGGGTTTTGGGTTCTTTTATGGGGCTTAGGATTTGGGGTTGAGGGTTTGTTCTTGAGGGTTTAGGTTGTTTAGGGGTTTAAGGGTTGAGGTTCGAAGTTTAGAGTGTTTCGAGGTTTTGGTTAGGGCTTTTGTTCGTTTTGGGCCCAAGGGTGGCTTTCGGGCCAAGGCAGTCGTATACATAGTACCCGCATACATGCGCTCGTAGGGCTTGTTACATCTGATGCTACTTGGAGGAAGCAGGGACTTAGTCGTAGGTTGCAGTTGCAATGGTAAATGGAGAAAAAGGTACTCTTGCTGGGATGTCCGATCGTGCAGGAAGGAGCATCAAGGCCCGCATGATTTAGTGTATTCAGTTTGCGGGTGGGCAGATTGTGATGAGCTGCTCTCGGTGTCTGGGTTTAGGCTGCAGAGTCAGTGGTGTCTTGGAAAGGGGGGGTTCAGGCTTGAAGGGTTTATGACTCAGGGGTTCAGCCCTCGAGAATGGTAAACATCGAAATGCTTGGAGTAGCAAAGGAGGCTAACTGCTAGCTTCGCAGAGACGGACCACTTTGTTCCACGCAGATGGTGCGTCGGCGGCGGGCTGCTATAACGGCCAAAACCGTAAGACTTCGTCACTGAATCGTAGTCGATTGGCGGTCTTTTTCGGCGAAGGGAAGATGCAAGCTGCTGGGCATCCCTTTTGGGAAGCCCAGTCGCTGTTTCTTACAGGATGGCTTTCTAGCTCTGGGCTTAAGAACTCGAGGTTCCGAGCTTAGAACCGAGGGTACCTGGCTCAGGCTTCAGGAGCAGATCAGGGCCTGAAGATGAGGGGTTCTGGGTGTAGGGGTTTCAGGGGGTTTGGGTTGAGACACTCGGAAGACTGAGATTGGAAAGTGCCGTGACGTGAGGGTCTGCAACTTGGTTGTCAGGCTTTGGGATCTCCCATGCTCACCTTCAGCCCAGCATGGTCCTAGAAGCAGGTTCACGATCACAGGAACACTCTAGAGCAAACAAGGATAAGCGGGTATCGACGCACAGACGACTCTCATCTACCTCGGCAAGGCACAAGGGTGCTTCACAACCTCCTACCTAAAAATGTAGACTCCTTGTTGAGATTCTAGGGCGTGGGGCTTGCAGGGTTTAGGGGTTTTAGGGCTTAGGGCTTATGGCCTTTCAAGCGTGGCGTGGAGCTTGAAGTAATCTACCAAAACCTGAATGACAGAACAGCTGAACAAGCATGAACTTCAGAAACATTCATCGGATCCTACATCTTCTTGTTCTGGGGGACATGACGTTACCAACAGGGGCTTAGGCTTTGGGCTGCTCGGGCTTAGGGCTTCGGGTTGTTCAGGTCCTGCTTCATAGGAGCTCGGAGATCAAGGGTTCAGGGTTTAGGTGGCAAAAAGTCGAAGTGCTAGGCTTACTAAGGGATCAAGAGACATAGTAGTATTTTGTTTTACAAAAACTTTTATTCGGCCCTATACTCAGAAGTGTAGTTGCTCATCTACATGCTAAACTCCCGGTAAGTCGGGCTTCTGAGAGTTTGAGATGAACAGCTTGGCATATTCCCACTGGCTCTTCAAACATCTGCGTCCTGGCAGCCCAGACCACTCGCTCGTTCAAAGGGTCCGAAGTACCTCTTTGGGGGTTGGGGTACTTATCCCAAGCAGAATAGATCATAGTAGTAATTCCTACTATAGACTCTCTATACCGTCTACTTTAGCTTTGAACCCTAAACCTAAACCCTAAACCGGTACTTAGGACTCTTTGGGTCCTTCCAGCCTTGAAACCTGCTGGGCTTTCACCGCCGGCCGTCATGGGCTGCAGGGCTGGGGTTAAGGATATTAGGCTGAGTTAGGGTTTGTATGGGGTTCCATTAGGGCTTAGGGTTTAGGCTTAAAGTTTGGGCTAGGGAGCCCATCATCAAGGGATAGTTCTCTCATCCCCCCCCCCCATTCGAACGACTAAATTATGCTAAGACTATTTAGGATCCTGTGTTGCGGTCAAAAAGAACTTCGGCAGGCAAGACTAGGTTACATCGCTCCTCAAGAGCGTTGAAGCGATCTTCATCCAATAATGTCAACCCTCGACTTTCAATGTCATGTAGGGGCCCTGAGCAAGTAGAGTAGGATGTGGGGAGCTTTGGACCGATGCAAACAGCAAGAAGATCCAGGGCCCTACTTGTACTGTAAGAATCCCAGGCGACTATACTTTGGATGCTCCGCTCTGCGGGTACCTTTGTAGCACCCAAACTCCAAACCCGTAGATAACACACACAGTGCACCTCAAATTCCTATGGGGTTGAGGGGCTGAGGAGATCCGGGTTCAGCCTGCGGGTGGGCGGGGTGGAGTCTGGGGACCTCCTCACGATCAAAGCTGAAGTACGCCTGAAAAATCAGCAAGAACGGGGATAGTGCTCATGCGCCCGGCAGTGGTGGAAGGTCAGCTTCCGTCAACAGCCTCCTGGCACACCCTGGGCCAGTCGATTTCGTATATTGCGGAACCAGGTCCCTGTCTTCAGCAGCCACTTAAGCCCAACGCCGTCCCCAGCCTAAACCCTAAACCCAAAACCCCGAGCACTACCATAATCAGCATTCACAAGCCCAAAACCCAAGCCCTGAACACACGCATCTCAACAGGGCCCCTAAACCCTAAACCCTGGACCCTATTCCTTAAACCCTAAACCCGATTCAGCTAGGGTTTGGCGCTTTGGGACTATAGGGTCTAGGGTTCAGGGTTGCGGTAAGCCCTACTGTGCACAAGCCCCTTAAGAATAGAAGCCTGAAGCGATGCGCCGTTAAAGAGGCGCCTTGGTAACTGGAATAAGGCTTCGGGGCAAACATCGGATGTAGACATAGAGTGTGAATTAGAATATGGACCCCTCAGGAACCTGTTCATTCTCTTCTTTCGGATTCTACATAGAGTGTCACTTAAGACTATGAACCCCTCGGGAACACGTTCACCCTAAACCCTAAACCCTAAACCCTAAACCCTAAACCGTTAGGGTTTAGGGTTTAGGGTTTATAAATATTTCGGATTCTACATCCATTTCCCTGGCCGGCAGGTCCCTTTTTCTTTGTCCGGCGCCTTGTGGCGAGCCGCAGACATGAAGGTCCAGCGGGGTGCGCACATGAAATCCCCAAAGCCCTGAACTCGAGTAGACCAGAGGATGGAAAACGCTGGACCCCAAAAAAGGCATCGACAACAGAAGTGCTATAACCCCCCTCTAACCCTAAACTGGAAACCGTCCTAAACCATAAACCCTAAACTTCCCTGAAACCCTAAACCCTAAACCCTAAACTTCCCTGAACCCTACAAGCCCTGAGCCAGGTCCTCGTCTGCCGTTTTGTCTCCCAGAATGCCTACTTTGGAGCTCCAAACGGTTTAGGGTTTAGGGTTTAGGGTTTAGGGTCATAATGGGCCATAGCCTACTGCTTCGCAGGGTCGGGGCTACGGGTAGTGCTCCAAATCTAGACCCCCTACACCCTAACCCTATAAACTCTTGTAAACCCTAAACCCATACAAACCCTAAACCCATACAAATCCTAAGCCCTAAACCCTTAGAGACCCTAAATAGATCTCTAAACCATGAAACGCTCAAGCTAGACCCCCATGATCTGTGAGACTACACGCCGCCTCAGAGGTCCAGAAAGCTGAGCCCGGCTAGTGGCTGACAGTCGTCACCAGAACGGTTCGGGTTTCTGTCTAGGGTTAGGGTGCTAGAGGGGTACGATTAGGTTTATGTCTAGGGTGCTAAAGGGGTACGATTAGGCTTCTGTCAGGGGTACTATAAGGGTACGATTTGGTTTCTGTCTAGGGTACTCCCAAGCCTGCATACTTTAGCATTTCTGGTCGTCATCATCGTCATACGTATCCTCGAACAGGCGCCTTAAAATCAGAACGGTTTGGGGTACCTTACACTGAAGTTCTGCAAGAACTATGAAGGGGCGTAGCCATAACTTTTAGGGTTTAGGGTTTAGGGTTTAGGGTAACCCTAAACCCTAAACCCTAAACCCTAAACCCTCAAC